CCCCAGACGACTGAGACCCTCGCACTGAGACGGGGACTGATCCGCGAGACTCGGCGTCGAGCGCCGCGTCGAATGCGAAGGCCGCCGCTGCTGGCGGACAGCGCGGGCCCACGGGAATCGGGCCCTCGTCGGCCCCTGCCGGAATCTCAGATGCTGAGCGCAAGCAGCTGCGGGGAGACACGCCGTTCCCTGGAACCTACTTTTCCTGGCTGCTGTGCGTTTTCTTCAACTTCGGGAATGCTGCCGGATTCAGGCTCCGGCCTCGCCCTCCTCTTTATGCCTGCTTGTCCTGCTCTCTGTAGCGCGGTGTTTGCGCCCCCAGACGCTGCGCTGGATACCAATAACTATGATGCTGCACTCGCTTCCAGCGCCGCTGCGCTCGCCGCTCGCGAAGCTACCCCTGCCCTCTGCGATGCTGCACGTGCTTCCCGAGGCGCTGTGCTATTTGCGATGCTGCACGCGCTGAGCTCGACGCTGCGCTCGCCCCGTGAGACGCCGCGCTGGCTAACCGAGACGCTGTGCTCGCTATCTGCGATGCTGTGCTTGCTGTGTGTGACGATGACGACGACGGGCTGGGTGATGGCGTTGTCCTTGGCGATGATGTAGCGACGATCGGCGGTGGCGATGGCGGAAAATTCAATCGCTGCTAGCAACGTGGTCGGCCCCTTGCCCACCCCTCGCTCGCGCCGCCCTCTGGGCGCGAGCTCGCTGGCACAGGTGGCCGCGCTGCAATCCGGCACCCATCTGGATTGGAAACCGAACTCATTGAGCTTCTCTGCCGGGGCCCTCAGCTGCCCCGCGCCAATGATGCCATCCTGCGCGCCAGCGCCCACCCCAACACCCCGCGCGTCGACGGCGCGCCCGCTGAACGCGGCGGCCATGACAACTGCCAGCTTGACCGCCCATCCAGTCCCCGATGATACACTCGAAGGCCCATCGTTCCGGCGCGCTCGAGCTTGTCGATTGAGGGGCACTCGCGCGCCCAACGTTCAATATGCCTGCACTTGTGACACCCCGTCCTGCGCTTAATCTGGTTGAAGAATCCGGCGCCAGTGGCCGGTCTTGCCCTTGCCTCTCGCCCTTGCGTTTGCCGACTTGTCTCTCGCAGCCTCCGTGCGCGCCGCCGCCCTTCGGCTGGAAGTAGCCCCATGCCTGCCGTGCCTCGTTCAACTGGTTGCGGACTTCCTCGCGCTCGACCTGGCAGCTCACGGCCAGGCGCATGTCCAGCAGCACACGCGGAGCATCCTACTCCTCGACAGCGCCGTCGCGCAACTCCGAGCCGAGGTGGCTGACTCCCTCCTTCGACTCCGTTCCTGGAACCTGCGAGACGCCCTCGCCCTCGTTGCACCCGGCGTCCTCGTGGCCGATCAGCTCGATCGCGAAACGCGGCGCCCCTCACGGCCTGGTCATCGGCTGCGGCGGCAACGCCGAGCTCGAGTCCTCAGCGCCCCGAACGAAGAGCGCGAGCGCGGCAAGGCCGGAAACTGGTCGTGGAAGTCCAGCGCGTCGATCAGAGCGGCCCAGTCGCACGAGTGCATTCGCGATGTCATCGAAGTCGCAGCCGCCGCCGGTCTAGCCGATCACCTGGTCATGTGACCTCTCGTCGAGCCTAGCGAAGCGCAGGGTCGAGCATCCTTTGAGCGCGCGCAGCAACACAAGCGATCTTCAACCTCTCGAGCGCCGTGAACTCGAGCCGTCTCCGATCCACGAACGCGGTCAGCCTCTCAATTTTGGGGTCCTGGGCGCACGTGCAGAATGCTCTCTCAAGCGCATCCAGAAGCGTCCTTCAGGTAGGTGAATGCGTTGACGGGGACGTGCAATATCAACTCGACGCGATTCTGTTCAGTGAGCGCCTCGCCCACAATTTCCTCGCACGCCAAGGGAACCAGCCCACGGATTGTCCCAAGCACTGCCCCTCCAAATGCTACTAGCATCGAGCGTGGTGCTGGCCTTCCAAATCAACAACTCCCACGGAATTGACGGTACAAGTAGTCGTGCGGGGGCTCCGTGAACACAGGCGGAGGGTCCCTGCCTAACTCTATCCTCGGAATGACCTGCATCGGTTCGCCATTAAACTTTTTTGCTGGTTCGTGTTGTTTCCAAATGTCGGTGGCACGGTAGCCGAAGCTGACACGTCGAACGAATTTCTCAGCTACAGTGAGAACCACGGACCCGCACAAAAATCAAACGGATCAGAAATTCGCGGACTCTTTCAGCTGCGCGCGCACATGACCCAACTCAGTTTTGGGACGACCGCCGATAATCACGACAACGACGTGGCCAACTGCACACACACACACACACAATCGCACCCACGACCCACGAGGGACAGGACTCAGCAAATCATTGGAGGTTGTGGATGGTCGTGGAAGGGGAGCGGGATCACCTGGAGAGTTGCAACGAAGTGTTTATTGTTTTCAAAAGTAATGGGAGTGAGGGGGGGCGACAAGGAAAGGGAGGGAGGAACAAGAGTACGGAGGGGTGATGTGGAAGGAGATGGGAGAGGAATGTCGGGTTGGAAATCTTGGGTGGGCAGGAAGAAAGGGAAGAGGGGAAGAGGCGGTAGAGGGAGGGAGGGAGGGGAGGAAGCAGGGGAACAGCGGAGGCGGGGGCCAGGAATGATGAAGGACACAGGAGCTTCCGTCGTCCTGACCTTCTCATTTTCTCTGCCCTCGCAGCACCACGAGCCCTGACCCCTGACACAGAGGTTCATACACTGAGCCTGCGCCCCATGCAGTCCTTTCTGGTGCGCCATGGCGCCTGGAGCGGAGGCCCAAGCTTGACAAGCCCAACCTAAGCAGTTTTTCGTTCGGGGAACCGAGAGGTACTCATACCACTGCTGCTGTCCGGACCTCTCTGGGGGTGCGTTCAGACCATAATCTCGGGGCGAATCCAGCGGCGGCGACGAGGGCTTCCCAAGAAGTCGAGGAAGGCGACAACGAGGGAAGGCCAGCGGTATGGATATCTTTTTCCTCCTCCGAGTTGTTCCGAACCTCGAGGAGGGGCTTTCGAGAAGGAGCCCTCGAGAAGCCTTCGAGAAGGAGCCTCTGAGAAGAGCATCGCGCCTTACAGAAGCCTCGTCGTCGTCGTCGTCGTCGTTGTCGCCCCGAAGGAGAGTCTCTGGCGGTCCCCAGGGGGCCCCCGGGGCGTCCAGAGATTCCGGGGGGAACTCGGGAGGAGGGCAGGCGCCCCAGGCCCCCCGAGGGCCAGCAAAGGTGCCAAAATCTATAAAACTAGAACCAGCGCGCGCGCTTCGCGCGAGCTCAAGTTCTAGCTGGCTTCTTGGGGCCTCCTCGGAGCATCCTGGACTGCTTCTTGAAGTCGTCATGGGACCTTCTTGGCATGTCTTCGGGGGCCTTTTGGAAAGAGTTTTGAAGCCTTCTGGATGCCGTCTTGGGGCCTCTTGGAGCCTCTTTTGGGCTTCTTGGGGGCATCTGGGGACCTCTTGAGGGCCTGTTGGGGCCTCTTGGGGGCTTCCTGGGGGCATCTTGGGGCCTCTTGGGGGCATCTTGGGGCGGAGAGCTTGATTTTTCAGTTCGCGTTCCCTCTCTTGCGCCGTCTTGGGCGGCTTTGGGGCCATCTCGGGGCTCTCTTGGGCCGTCTTAGGGTCATCTTGGGCTTTCTTAGAGCGGTTTTGGGAGCCTCTTGGGCGGTGCTTCAGCGCCGGAAACACGAAACAGCGACAATCCAAACAACATTGAAAAAACAAGAAAATCAACGATTTTGCCGTCTCGGGACGCTCTTGGGCGGCATCTTAAAGGCCTTTGGGGGCGTCTTGGGGGCCTCCGGGGCAGTCTAAAACGCATCGTGCGTCGCCAGAGACCCCTAGACGGCGTCTTGGGGGTGTCTCGAGACCGCCTGGGGCCGCCGGGATTGCTGTCTGAGGGCTCCCCGGGGAAATTTCAAGCCTCCCAGATTCGGGCCCGGGCCCCGGTCCCCACATTTGTGGTCGAGGTTCTGGCCTCGGCCCCCGAGCCCAGTGCGCCGTGATCTATATATTATTATATATATGAAGAAACAAAATAATAAATGAACGAATCCATAAATAAATCAATAACAAATAATGTGTCCATGCTCATTCCCTTCTGCTCGTTCCCCTCCTCCTCTTCCTCCTCCTCCTCTTTCTACACCTCCTCCTCTCCTCCTCCTCCTCCTCTTCATCCTCCTCCTGCTCCTCCTCCCACCGTTCCCCTTCCATTTTCCTCCTCCTCCTCCTCCTCCTCCTCCTGCTCGTCCTCCTCCTCCTCCTCCTGTTCATCCTCCTGTTCCTCCTCCTCATCTTCCTCCATCTTCCTCGTTATGGTCATCAATAGTAGTATTTATCATGCTCCTCTTCGTCCGTCTTCTCCATCTTCATTATCCTCCTCCTCCTCCTCCTCCTCCTCTTCCTCCTCCTCCTCCTCCTCCTGCTCCTCCTCCTCCACCTGGCTCCGCTCAAACACGTCCTTATGTGCCTCCTCTCCCCTTCCCGCTGCCCTCCCTCGCCCTCCCCTTCCCGCACTCGGCCCCTCCATCCACTCCACTTTCTCCATTCCTGGCTCCTCGCTCCGTTTCCCCCCTTCTTGCTCCTCGCTTCTTGCAACTCGCTCCTTGCCTCATCGCCTCGCGTCTAGCCTCGCCCCCCGTTCCCCGTTCTGTCCCACTCCCTCTCACCGCACCACTCCAGCATCCATTCCCGTCTTCCCTCGTTCCTTCCTCCTGCGTCCTCCCGAAACCTCCGGACTTACAGAAATCTTTGGGAACCCCCCAAAAACATGCAGGACGCCGAGAAACCGCCGAGGGCATGTGAAACCGCCCACAGGTTCCTACACCCCTCCTCCTTCTCCTCCTCATGCTCCTCCTCCTCCTCCTCCTCCTCCACCCCCTCCTCCTCCTCCTCCTCCTCCTCCTCCTCCTCCTTCCCCCGCATAGTGCCGCGCCTGATGTTCCTCCTTCTCCTTATCCTCCTCCTCTTCCTCCCCTTGATCCCCACGCAAGAAGGGCAACGGCGCGGCAAGGACCACTTCCGCTGGGCGAAGTTGTAGCGATGGAAGTCACTCCTCGCAGGCTGGCGAGCGGCAGGGCCGCAGGGAACCTCCTCCTCCTCCTCCTCCTCCTCTTCCTCCTCCTCCTCTTCCTCCTCCTCCTCCTCCTCCTCATCATCATCAGCAGCAGCAGCAGCAGCATCATCCTAAGCCTCCTCCTTATCCTCCTCCTCCTCTTCCTCGGTCCTCCTCGGGATGCTCATCCTCCTCATCTTCCTCCTCCTCCCTCTACTCATCTTCCTCCTCCTCCTCCTCCTTCTCCTCCTCCTCCTCCTCCTCCCTCTTCTCCCGCTCCTCCCTCTCCTGCTCCTCCTCCTCCTCCTCCTGCTCCTCCTTCTCCTCCTCCTCCTCCTCCTCCTCCTCCTCCTCTGAGTCCTTCTCAGAAGGTGTTCGAACTTCACTATCGGCGATTGCAGCGATTGAGCCTCCTCATGCTCCTCCTCCTACTGCTCCTCCTCCTGCTCCTCATGCTCCTCCTCCTCTTCCTCCCTTCTCCTCCTCCTCCTCCTCCTCCTCCTCCTCCCTCCAATCCTCCTCCTTCCCCTCCTCCTTGTCCCTCTTCCTCTCCTCCTCCCTCCTCCTCCTCCTCCTCCTCCTCCTCTTCCTCTCCTCATCCTCCTCGGTCCTCATAGGGATTGACCTCATCCTCATCTTCCTCCTCCTCCCTCTCCTCCTCATCTTCCTGCCGCTCCTCCTCTTCTTCCCCCTCCTCCTCTCTCCTCCCTCCTCCTCCTCCTCCTCCCTCCTCCTCCTCCTCCTCCTCCTCCTCCTCCTCCTCCTCCTCCTCCATTCCTTCTCCTTGTAGATAACTCCTCCCTGTCGAATCGCCTGTCGAACCCCGAGGCCAGTTTTTAGGGCGGGCCGGGCGTTTCGCCTGAGACGTCCCCACCAGTTATGACTCTGAAGCTTAAAAATTGGCAACTATTTCACAGATGGAGTGCGGGTGGTTTTCAAACTGTGGCTCTCGCCTTAGTGCCGCGCACATGCGCTTTAAACAATTGCAAAGGTTTCACGGATTGAGGGCGGGCCGTTTTCAAAATGTGGCTCTCGCCTTAGCGCCGCGCAGGTGCCTTTTACAAATTTGCAAGGGTTTCACGGATTGAGGGCGGGTGGTTTTCAAAATGTGGCTCTCGCCTGAGCGCCGCGCACGTTCCTTTACAAGTGTGCAAGGGTTTCACGGATTGAAGGAGGTTCCTTTTCAAAATGTGGCTCTCGCCCTAGTGCCGCATACATTCGTTGTAAACAATTGCCAGAGATTCACGGATTGAAGGCGGTTCCTTTTCAAAATGTGGCTCTCGCCTTAGCGCCGCGCACATTCGTCTTTAAACATGTAAGAGTTTCACATATTGAGGGGAGGTCCTTTGCAAAATGTGGCTCTCGCTTCAGCGCCGCGTGCATTCGTTTTTTTATATGCTAGAGTTCCACGGGTTCCCATGATCAGCGTACCAGAAATTATGTTTTGGACGGATTCAGGACTATGCGGGCGCAACGGTTATGTTGGTTCGCTGTGTTGAAGTCCCAACAATGGCGTTCTGGCACGATTCTGGATCGTCAAGATTTAGCAGTCAGGTTGATATGTGGCGTTGAAATCCCGAGAACAGTGTTTTGGCAGGCTTCAGGATCTGCAAACTGTTGTCTTCCAACGAGGCAATCCCCTCAGTGGAAATGAACCGTTGTAGGGGACTATGAAGAGGGAACTTGGAGGGAGGGTGAATTCCAACATTGTTGATGACTCTTGGGTTTCCACTGGTCCTCCTCCTCCTCCTCCTCCTCCTCCTCTCTTCCTCCTCCTCCTCCTCCTCCTCATCATCATCATCATCATCCCCCTCCTCCTCCTCCTCCTCCTCCTCCTCGTCCTCCTCGTCCTCCTCCTCGTCGTCAAGGGCGACGGCCAAGGGCATCGGTGCCCGGAGGCCTTCGAGTCGGGGTCCGAGCACATGGGGTCGAAGGAACGCGCCGCATAGCCGCTGCATCGGCGAAGTATCGGCGACGTGGAGATCCTACGCGCTTGCTTACGCGGGCCGCCAGCGCGGCACACCACATTGGAAACGAGGACGCTTGCGCGCGACCTTACGAAGGCAAGTTGCGCGCCAATGTAGGTAATAACGACTCCAAAGTTCTGCCTCGCTTGAGCTGGGTCCGGACAGATGGGGTCGAAGGAACGCGCCGCATCGGCGACGCATCGGCGACGTCGGCGATGCACGGCCGCCGTTGGCGCGGCGGAAATCGGGCTTCGCATCGAATCACATCGCCGATACAACGGCGATACATCGAGATCCTCCGACCCAACCTACTCGGACCCCACATGGGAGGCCGAATGCATCGGCATGATGCGACCCGCTGCCGGCCCAAGCCTCCGGGATAACATCTGGAACGAGAGAACAAACCACAAGTGCACGAAGGGTTCGCTTCGTCACGAAAGGCCTGCATGTACCAGGGCGTGCCCTGTGCGAGCAAGCGGCAATGCTACCGCACAGCGGAGCCCAGCGAAGGAAAATACCAGGAGGGGGAGTGCACTGCAGTACTTCAGCCTGTTCGAAGGCGTGGTGTGGACCTCGCGAGGGGGCGGGGCGAATCACGAAATGACGGGAGGGGCAAGCGGTTTCGAGCACACGATGGAATGGAGGATATCAGATTCTATCAAGAGCAACTGGGGTCGCAGCGGCAGCAAAGAGCTCGCCTGCCCTCTTCCGAGGCTGCATCTGATCCATCACAGCAACTGTGGGGAACTGGCTCTGCGGAACTTCAGGAGGTGGTGCACATGTTTAGTTCGTGGCCCAGGGGATTCGACAGGTGTCCATAAGCACTGCCTCCTGAGGCCATGAAGGGTCGATGTCCCCCAAGGCGACGGTCATGGATTGTAGCGGCAAGAGTGTCGATATACGTTGGCATACACATTTGTTTGCAGGTAGTCGAAGTGGAGTAGCGGGCCATGAAGGAACCGATCGAACAGTCGCATATGCAGGGGCAATGTATCAGGATACCGCAGATTAGCACCGCCGTCGCGATGACCTCAGCGTTGCTTCCGACATCGCGTCGATCGTTCAATCTTGAACGATAGCGGCTTTCTGACAGTGCAGACAGTCAGATGCCGATCGGGCAATTTCAGGCCACTGCCAGCGTTCAACCTCGAACGCCCGAAACCAGGACCGCCGCCGCGTCAACGCAGCGCGAACGTCGGAAGGGGCGGGCCCCTTGAGTTCGAGGACCTCTTTATTCCAGATTTCTAGGATCCATCAAACGACTGGGGCAGATCGGCGGGCGCAGCCGTGCCACTTAGAAGCTCAAGTCGCGCTCGTGTTTCCCGAGCCTCCCGTCGTAGTTGGAGCACTCAATCCTGCAACTCGTCGCACGTGTGGCTTGGCCTAAGGTCGAGGATCGAGAACCAATATCTTTTTTGTTTCTGGCCGTCTTGTCTGCCCCCTAGGGGGTCTTCGCCTCGGGTGGCCCCGCTCCGAACACCTCCGAGGCCGCGGGGACCCACTTCCCGGGGCCTCCGGGTACCTCAAGGAAGGAGGGAGCCGTCGTCGTCGTCGTCGTCGCCGTCGGACGCAGGCATGACGCTTGGTGTACTCTGTCTGTGCAACTCTCATGCGGGAGAACAGCAAAGTGAGGGAGAGGGAGGAGGGAGGGGGGAGGAGGGGTGAGAAACATGAAGTAGGCAGGCATTGAAAGAAGCCGCGCATTCGGCTCGCCCCCGAGAAAGGATGGAAGAGGAAAGGCCTCTCGAATGTGCGACCCTTGAAATGGGAGGATGCTCAGAGCATGCTCGGACATTGAACAACAATCCAGCATATAGGCTTCCAGCGGCCGAACTACAATCTGGGCTCTGGGCGAACGTACGATGCAACAGAAACCAGACCCTCCGGCCTCGCGGCTTTCTCACCGTGTGGACCCAGGAGAAGGGAGAGGAGAGGATGGAAGGGAGAGGAGGGATGGAGGGAGAGGATGGAAGGAGAGGAGAGGAGAGGAGATGGAGGAGATGGAGGGACGGAGAGGATGGAGGGAGAGGATGGAGGGAGAGGATGGAAGGAGAAGAGGATGGATGGAAAAGGGAGGGAGAGGATGGAAGGAGGAGGACGAGGAGGGTCGCCAACTTCTCGCATGGCCCTCCTTTGAAAAGACGCGGCCTCCGGGGGACTCCCGGATACCCCCCAGACTCGGCCAAGCAGGTCGTCAGCTCCTCATCGCTACCAGCGCATCATTATCGGGCTGGCGGCTACGGCGCATGCGTGCATACTACCTGCAGCAAGTTATGCATCAGCATCAGCATCACCACCACCACAATCACCATCAGCATCAGCATCAGAAACATCATCAGCATCAGCATCAGAATCAGCATCAGCATCATCATCATCACCAAAAGCATCAAACGCATCAACATCAGAATCATGATCGTCATCATTACCATCATCACCATCATTATGATCAGAATCACCACTACCACTGACACCGACACAGTTATCAAAATCCGCCGGCCCCCTTGTGGGGCCACCAGGCTGTAGGCGCGAGGTTCGCAGTTTCCTGTACCAGTTGTAGCTTGTAGTTTCCAGTGTTACAGTTCTGCTTCTTGCTGGTTACTGAAACTAGTTGATTGTCCGCGCGAGGGGGGGGAGGCCCAAACCGACATTTTAGCACCTCCTGGGCGCGTTGTCTGAATTGCTGGGGGGGCTCGAAATCGACACCCCTCACGCAGATCCGCGGGGTCAGGGTCCAAAAACAAAGGGGATTTGCCACATTTCTGAAATTCGGTGCCACCCCTCACGCAGATCCGCGGGGTCAGGGTCCAAAAACAGAGGGGATTTGCCACATTTCTGAAATTCGGTGCCACCCCTCACGCAGATCCGCGGGGTCAGGGTCCAAAAACACATGGGATTTGCCACATTTCTGAAATTCGGTGCCACCCCTCACGCAGATCCGCGGGGTCAGGGTCCAAAAACACAGGGATTTGCCACATTTCTGAAATTCGGTGCCACCCCTCACGCAGATCCGCGGGGTCAGGGTCCAAAAACACAGGGATTTGCCACATTTCTGAAATTCGGTGCCACCCCTCACGCAGATCCGCGGGGTCAGGGTCCAAAAACACATGGGATTTGCCACATTTCTGAAATTCGGTGCCACCCCTCACGCAGATCCGCGGGGTCAGGGTCCAAAAACACAGGGGATTTGCCACATTTCTGAAATTCGGTGCCACCCTTCACGCACATCCATCGCAAGGCGTGGTAACCCAAACTGCGAGAACTCCCTCGGCCCTTTAATCGCAAGGTGTGGTAACCAAGCCCTTAAACCATACACGTCTTACCAATCGCCAGGTGTGGTAACCCCTCTTGTGATCAGTTGGTTTTGCTGATTGCGACTCGGCTTCGCATGAAGTTTCGATACTGCTTCACGACAGCGCCAAGGCCTCATGACTTAGCTCTTCCATGGCCCATTCTCCGAGAGAGGGGGCCGGCGGCAGGGGGCGAAGCCCTTACGGATCATCATTAGGGATAACGCCACATCGCCACATCCTCCTCCTCGTAATTGGGAGAACGCCGCGCACGACAACTACCGAGAACGCCACATCCCTACTCCCACGCTCACTCCGCATCCCCTTCATCATCATCATCGTCAACACCACCGGCACCATCATCATCATCATCATCATCATCATCATCATCATCATCATCATCAGCAGCAGCATCATCATCATCATCATCATCAGCATCAGCAGCATCATCATCATCATCATCATCATCATCAGCATCGCTCATAACCATCACCATCGTCATCATCAGCATCATCATCAGCAGCAGCATCATGATCAGCATGATGACCAGCATCATCATCATCAACATCATCAGCATCATCAGTTTTATCAGTACTGTTATCACGAGTGTTATTACTATAACCCATCATTATCATGATCAACATCAACATCATCCGCATCATCATCATCATCATCATCAGCAGCAGCAGCATTAGCATCATCATCGCCATCATCACTGCCTTCGTCATCGCCGTCGCCATCAGCATCCGCATGCTCATGAGCATGATCATCATCACCATCATCGTCATCGCAGCAATCACCATACGCATTAGCACATGTTAGCATCACGGTCGTCACCACTAGCAACACCTTCCTGACTAGCCCAATCACAATATTACAAGCTTCATCGTCATAGGCTCAGCCTTGCCACTACCATCACCAGAAGTATCCTATCCAGGATGACATACGCGTCAGTACTTGCAAGCTCATCCTCATCATGAGCAGCAACAGCACCATCACCACCACCAACACAACAGCATCAACATCAGCACAACCACCATCACCATTACCATCACCATCATCATCTCCATCATCATCAGCAGCATCAGTATCATCATCAGTAACATCATTAGCATCATCATCAGCCTCCTAAACATCATCATCATTAACATCATCATCACCGTATTCACCAACATCATAATCATAATCGTAATCAGCATCATCAGCATCAGCATCAGCACCACCCTCATCATCATCAGCATCAGCATCATCTTTATCCTCGTCATCCTCACCATCACCAACGCCATCGCCATCAGTATCATCATCATCAGCCTCATCAGCATCATCATCATCATCATCATCATCATCATCATCATCATCATCATCATCATCATCATCATCATCGTCATCGTCATCGTCATCGTCATCGTCGTCATCGTCTTCCCTCATAGCCCTCCTCTTGCTCTTTCACCCCCTTGAGAAATGCTCCCCGTTCCTGTCCTGGGGCGATTTCAGACCAGGGTTTCGAGGGGAATCCAGACATGACGGGGATCGCGCACAAGGAAGCTCAAACATGTGCTCGATCCTCGACTCGACCGTCCTCATTCCTTCTCACCTCGATCATAGGCCCGGGCGCAGATCCTGTAGTTGCCGTCGTAGCCAGCAAATATGTACATGGAGCCATCGTACTCCACGCCGCTGTGGCTGTGCCGGGGCGTCGGTGGACTCCTGGGGCGTTGGAGGAGCAGTGACACGGGGGGCCATGGTCCTACTGCTGCCGCCTGCTGCTCCTCCCACGCTTCATATAATGCTCACCTCCTCCTCTTCCTCCTCCTCATCATCATCATTACCCTCCCGTCATACCCCTTCTCCTCCTCCTCCTCCTCCTACTCCTCATCCTCCTCCTACTCCTCCTCCTCCTCCTCCTCCCCCTCCTCCCCCTGCTCCCCCTGCTCCCCCTGTTCCCCTTACACCTGACACCTGATGGCTGCGTTGTCGCCAGACGAAGCCACGCCCGGCTCACCAAAAGCGAACGGCGGGGGGCTTGAAGGGGTCCCTGGGCTGGCCAGGGCAAACCCGAAGAGAGTGCTGCGGCACGTCCTCCAAAGCACTAGATGTCGGCAACATGCTGCGGCGCTACCCGACACTCACAGCAACAATTTGCGATGTTGCCGTCTGCGAGACTGGGACACCAAAGGGTACCGATACCGCTACTCACTGGACCTCCCCCAGGGTGCGTTCTGACCAGAATTTCGAGGCGAATCCAGCGGTGGCGACGAGGGCATCCCAGGAGGCCCAATCAGGGAAAAACTGGCGAAGGGTAGAGGTATGGGTACCTTTTCCTCCTCGGAGCGACAATCTTCGCGCAAAGAAAGGATCCGCAGGGCCGAACGCTGCCTTCGCGCCCCCATCGCGGATGCGGCCGCAGAGGGCTGCGGGCGCGGCAGGCGGGCGGGCGGGCTGGCAGGCCGCTGCCCTCGCCGGGCGCTCGGTGACACGACCGAGGCGGATCTGCGGAAGCAGCTTCACGGTGGTGAGACCGTGCTGCGTACAGTGGATGCCAGTCCAAAAGAAACCTTCCACAATGAGTATCGCTCAACCGATCCCCATCCCCAGCGGCGTGGCCTGGGCCACAGTGGCAGATTGACCCCCCTAGATGGGGATCTAGGCCGTTCCCTTCGGGTTTCGAGGGGTGTATCCCCAACTGGGGGGTCATTTGGTGGGGGTCTCGAAGGGGATGGGGATGGGGATACTGACACAAGAAGCCAAACCCTGAGACCCCAGGACGTCCATGGGGACGTCACGCGCTCCGTAGCAAAACCATCGACATCCAAGGAACCCAAGGCACCTTGGAGGCAAGCAGGGTGTTTCTTGGCATTGTGGTAGCGACCTGGCGTCGGCGGTTGGCGCGCACGCGTCTGCACGGGCGGGACGGGTTGGAGGCCCCTCGGCGCGCGGCAAGACGAAGAAGAGGGAGAGGAGCGTAAGATGTGAGCGAGGGGGAGGTGGGAGGGACGATCCGTTGGCCGTGACTGGGCTGAGGCTTCAGGCAAATCATGACAAGAAGAGCGGGGATAGCGACGCACCCTGTTCCGTGGCCTCCGCTGACTTCGGTGATCTGGGCCTGGGCCTGGTGAGGCGGGCATGCCGCCCACCCTGTCGGCGGAAGCGGGCAGCCCAAGCTGCTAAAGAGGGCGCCAGGTTGACGCGGAGTCGCGTAGACAGACAGGCGAGAATGGGGCCCTATGCAGTGGGCCCGCTCTTTTGTTTTGTGTCGTTTCCCAGGGCGCCAGGGGGACGGGCCCGTCGCCGTGGCTGCCCAGGCAGCTCTTCAGGAGGACAGGAGAGAATGCTCGGCGGGAGAGCCCTTAAATGGGCGACGCCCCGTCCACGACTCCAAACCTGAAACACCTCCCCTCCTCCTCCTCCTCCTCCTCCTCCTCCTCCTCCTCCTCCTCCTCCTCCTCCTCCTCCTCCTCCCAAGGCAACGGACGGCAGTTGGCTGGCTTGCGAAGGTGGCGGGGCAGCGGGGTGGCCACTCAGAACCCCAAGCCTCCGGCCGTTGACTACACGCGTGGCGGCTCACCGCCAGTGTCAAAGCATGGCTGGCCAGGGTCGCTGGGCGGCATGTGCGCCCCCGGAGAAAGCCTTGCCGGTGGCCCCGTATGCGAGAAGCTGCTCAACGCCGCCGCACTTGCCGCCGCGTTCCCACAGCCGGTGGGGAACGTAGTCGTTGGCGGATAGATTGGAGTACTCGACACTGCGAAGCTCGTGCAGGAATTCCTGGCACAGGATATTGTGAGAGCGCTCGGCAAGCTCGAGGTGCCCTTCGTGACGCACGCGGTGGCTTTGGCCAGGTTGACTGGGAACTGCCCCGTGGTAGGGTCCACCTCGCCGAACGCCCCCCCAGGCGAACGAGCCTGACTCGTTGCGCAGGGCGGAGGTGTCCTGCCCCTGAAGGTCTGGAGTCGTCGGGCTGTTAGCGTTGCCCTCAGTCTCCTCCTGTGCGTTGGCCTTGAGCTGGCCGTGGTTGGTGGCCTCCTCGTGCTCGGCGCTATTTTTCGTGGTCCTCCTAGTAATCGGAGCCCAAGGTGTCCGTCGCGGGACCAGGTGGCGTATGAATCGGTGGGAGCGATAGAAACGGAGCAAAAGACACGCTCGGTACAATCGGCGAGAGCGCAAAGCGCGCAAGTCGCGGCTGAGAGGCAGGCGCATCTTTGTTCGGACACGTGGGGGATGCAGCTTGACTTACCGAGTGTTTGTAGAGTTTGACTTTGTGTTGACATGCGGCGTTGCACCAATCAACACATATATGTTTTCAGAACCGATAGACATGTTGCAATTGCCAACTGATCTCCCTACTTGCGAGTCCGGGGCATAGTGTGCGAGCGTGTGCAAGAACAAGAAGCAATTGCGCATGCCATGGCGAACATCTAAGGCCTCGAAGCTGCGTGAGAAATGTTTCGGTGTGCGATATCGTTCGTTACGCGGTGTACCTCCCCTGCGCAAGTAGAGCTTGGGGGCGTCTCGGGAGCCTCTTAGAGCACATTGGGGGCCTCTTGGGGGCGTCTTGGACGTTTCTTGGGGCCTCTTGGGGCTCGTGAGGGCCTCTAGCGACTCTTAGGGGCCTCTTGGTGGTCTGTTGATGACGTATTTGGAGCGTCTTGGGGGGCTCTTTCGGGCCTCTTGAGGCCTCTTGAGCACCTCTTGCGGCTTCCTGGGTTGCCTTCAAGGAGTCTTGTGAGCCTCTTGAAAGCCTCTTGGAGCTCACCTTGAAGCGTCGGAAGCGCATCTCAGGCGAAAAAGCTGGAAAGGCAAGCACTATGCATGTTCCCTCGTTTTCTTGTGTGAAGGATTGTAGTTCCTCGGGCTCCTCCCCGGGGGCGCTTTGAGAACTTCTTGGGCGCTCTTGGGAGCAGATTCTGCCGGCTTGTGAGCATCGTGGGCCGTATTGGAGCAGTGTTGGGCCGTCTCGGGGGCCTCCTGGACTGTCCTGGAGGTTCTTCGGGCTCTCTGAGGCAGTGTCCGAATGTTGTTTGTGCCCTCTCGGAAAGGCCCAAAATCCCCGCCACCGGCATGGGGATCTAAAATCTGCCCTTAAGGCCCCCGGCCCTAAACCCCGGGTGTATGTGTTTTGTGTTGTGCTGTGTGTTGTGTTATGTTGTTCGATCTCTCTCTCTCTCTCTCTCTCTCTCTCTCTCTCTCTATATATATATATATATATATCGCTCTCTCTCGCTCTCTCTCTCTCTCTCTCCCCCTCCCTCTATCCTCCTGCTCCGCCCTCTCCATCCCTGTTCTTCTGAGGGAGTGCGGCGCGCGGGTCCCTTGAGAGGCATCGACCACAGACCAGGCCTGGGGAGGCGCGCGACACGGGCGGTGCGGACGGAGGGTGGAAGAGCAGAGGCCAGGGCACGTGGGAGCAACACCTGCTCGCGCCAATACCCGCGTGCCGATCTTCGCCACGTGGCCGCTGGGAGCGGGGTGGACTGTCCTGGGGTCCCCTCGAGCTCTCTGTGTACATAAAGTCTTGAGTCGTCTTGGAGGCCCTGGGTGCCAGTCTAAGGGGGGCAGAATCACTGAAACATCACTGGCCTGTAAGATGTGAGGAGTCCCTGCTTGTCGGTATTCGGAGCGTCCAAGACGGCACAATAGGCCCCCGAGATTTCGCCAAGACGATGAGGAAGGCACTGAGAGAGCCCAGAGAGACCACAAAGACGGCTCAATGAGGAGGCCAAGCCGGGACGCTAACTCACATGACCATCCCTTCCCCCCGAGGTGGTCCGTGAAACTAGCAGCAGGCCCGCAAAAGGCCTCCCGAGGCCCCCGATAGGCCCCAGGAGGACACCAAAAGGCCGGAGAGACCACCAAGAGGCCCCCAAGAATCCAACTGTGCTTTCACTCAAGCCCTTCTCTCCATACATCTGGATGAATTGCATCATCCTCCAGCCTCACTGGTTCTCCCTCCTCCTCCTCCTCCTCCTCCGTCCTCCTCCTCCTCCTCGTCCTCGTCCCAGTTATCCTCCTCCTCCTCCTCCTCCTCCCCCTCCCCCTCCTCCTCCTCCTCCTCCTCTCCTCCTCCTCCTCCCTCCTCCCTCCTCCTCCTCCTCCTCCCTCCTCAAAAAACTCCTTATCCTTTCTGAAGGTGCCTCCTGCTCCTCCTCTTCATCCTCTTCATCCTTCTTCTCCCTCCACGACACTTGCCCAACATGCTCCTTCCTCCCTCCGGCTTCCTGCATCACCCTTTCTCCTTTCCTGCTCCCTCTGGAACATCCAGACGTCGAGAAATTCAGGAAACCTGCGAGAGCCGCCGAGGACCAAGCGAAAACATGCGAAGACCACCCAGGAGAAGCTCCGATCACCATCGGCGAGAATGGCGATGGCGGCGACGACGACGAGAGTCGAGTCGTTGTCAGGTCGCCGCCGCCGTCGTCAGCTTGTCGTCGGATCGCAATCGTCGCCTTCGTCGTTCGTCGCCGTCGTCGTATGGTCGCCGTCGCCGCCGTCGTCGTCGTCGTCGTCGTCTTCGTCGTCGATACCGTCGTCGATGTCGTCATCGTCGATGTCGCCATCCTCGTCGTCATCGATGTCGTCGCATGCGCTGCCGCCCTCGTCGCTATCGCCGCCGTCGTCGGATCGTCGCGAAAGTGGAAAGGACCACACGGGACGATGCATCAGGAGAGAGAGAGAGAGAGAGAGAGATGGGGGGCTTTCCTGGCCACGGCGAGCCTGGGCCACGAGCAGGCTCCACGGCCTGGCTCTGCGGAACGGCCCCGAATAGCAGAGCCCTTCCTGAGCCCTGCGTGGTCCCTCACTGCAGGCGTCTCGCGTGCAGAGAGAGGCGGTCGGCTCCCTCCTGGGGGAGCCAGGAGGTCCCGATACCGCTGCTGCCTGGACCCTGGACCTCTCCCAGGGTGCGTTCTGACCAGGATTCCGGGGCGGATCCAGCGGTGGCGACAGGAGCCTCCCGGGAGGCCTTCAGAGGCGAAAACGAGGGAAAGTTAGCGGTATCGGGACCTTTTGAGCAGGGACCGACCGTCCTGGCGTTCCTATAGTCCTACCACGAAGCGTTCTTCGAACCCAACCTTGTTCTAATAACAAAATCAATGTTCTTAGAACAGTAGGCCGATGTGTAAAAAACAAGGCAGCTTCAGCCAGAAACATGTTCTAAGAACATGTCGTGCAGACCGCGAACAAGGTTCTTAGAACATTCCTTGGTGGGCCTATAGGCGAGCCAGGACGCTTCGCAACTGCTTGAGCCGTCTCCTCCCGTGACCTCCGATAGCTGTCGCGCGACGGGAGAAGGACGACGAGGATGAGGAGGAGGAGGAGGAGGACGAGGAGGAGGAGGAGGAGGACTCTGACATCCGACAGCTGGCGCGCGACGGGCGGCGCATGCCCCGCACAGCGCCCGGGGCCCAACGCAGCGCAGGCTCCGACGGACGGCACGGACAACGGCCTCCTACGGCGGCCAGGCGCTCGGCGGCGGTCGGCAGAGGGCCCACCGGCTCAATGGGCACCAGGTCGGGCCGAGAGGGAGGGGGAGGATGGAGAGGGGGAGGGGAGGGAGAGGGGGAGGAGGAGGAGGAGGAGGAGTCACGATCAGGAAGGAGAAGGAGTTGTTTGAGGAGGGAGGAGGAGAGGAGGAGGAGGAGGGAGGAGGGAGGAGGAGGAGGAGGAGGAGTAGGAGGAGGAGGAGGAGGAGGAGAAGGAGAGAAGGGGGGGAGGAGGAGGAGGAGGAGGAGGAGGAGGAGGGAGGAGGAGGAGGAGGAGGAGGAGGAGGAGGAGGAGGAGGAGGAGGAGGAGGAGGAGGAGGGAGGGGGAGGGGAGGGGGAGGGAGGAGGAGGAGGAGGAGGAGGAGGAGGAGGAGGAGGAGGAGGAGAAGGAACAGGAGGAGGAGGAGGAGGAGGAGAAGGAGGAGGAGGAGGAGGAGAAGGATGGGGAGGATGGGGAGGAGGAGGAGGAAGAAGAAGGGGAGGAGCAAGCCAGCAAGCAAGCAAGCAAGCAAGCAAGCAGGCCAGCCGGCCAGTCAGCCAGCAAGCAAGCAAGCAAGCAATGCCTCACAGAGTCCTGGTGCAAAACTTTGTGGCCTGACATCAAAAAAGGAGTTTCGCGAACTCTGAGGGAACTTCGTTGTGGTCGACAGTCTACCTCTGGACATGAGCCCTGTGTTCTCGCCCACGCACTGCCCAAATAAGGGCAACCCTCACTACGGGGCGGAGGGGGAGGAGGGGGAGGAGGGGAAGGAGGAGGAGGAGGAGGAGGAGGAGGATCAGGATGAGGAGGTGGAGGAGGAGGAGGAGAGGAGGAGGGGGGAGGAGGAGGAGGAGGAGGCGGAGGAGGAGGAGGAGGAGGAGGAGAAAGAGGGAAAGAGGAGGAGACGGCGGGGGATCGCCAGGGGCGACCTCCAAAGGAGGCGGCCCCCTTGTTTCGTTGCTATTGCTCGCTGAGGACGTCCTTACACGCCTGACCCTGGTGGACACCCATCCGAACGTGGGATGGGCCACGGTGCCAGGGTCGCGATTGCAGAAGGAGGAGGCAGAGGGGGAGGGGTGAGGGGGAAGAGGAGGAGGAGGAGGGGGAGGGGGAGGGGGAGGAGGAGGAGGAGGGAAAGGGGGAGGAGGAGAGGGAGGGGACGAGGACGAGGGAAATGGGGAGGAACAGGGAGAGAGGGGAGGGGGGAGGGAAGGCGAGGGACAGGGAGAGGGGACGCGGACGAGGACGAGGTAAAGGGGCAGTCTGGCGCCCGGATTCGCCTGGGGGGGTGGGGTCCTAAGAGCGAAAAGGAAGTGGAAGGATGATGTGAAGGATGGTGATAAACGCGTGTTTTAGAGAGAGAGAGAGAGAGAGAACAAAAAAAAAAGAAAGAAATAAAGAAAGAAAGAGAGAGAGAGAGAGAGAGACATGCGCTCTCGCCACGGCCAGGAGTCTTCAAGAGGCCTTCTCGTCATACGAGTCGAGGTCTCAAATGCGTACGCCACTAGCCTGCAGAACTAGCTGACACCATCGTCGAAAACTCCATGCTGCGATGCAGACGCGAAACTGGCAAGCGCAATGAAGATGCGCCCAGAGCAATGAAGATGAAGCCCTCCTGTAGCAGACAACTAATGAGAAGCGATGCGAACTATCACTAATCCACAACCAAAGAAGACATGGCATATTGAAACGGATGCCTGGAGCACGCGAGGACAAGATCTGGACAACTGCGAGAACTGTGACAGCCCTGACGATGAGTACGATAATTGAGAAACCACACCAGCCCTCTGGGCGTAGGTGGTCTAGAGCGGTGTCTCTTCCAACTCCTCCCTCTTCCCCTTCGGGGAAGGGTTGAATCACTTTTCCCTGTTAGAGAAACACCCATTCCTCCAGGCGACCGGGGGCCAACCAGGAACCATGAGGACCCCCCCACACCATCCCTGTCAAGAAATAATCCCAAACGCACTCTGCCTCCACATTTGGAGCGTGCGCGGCCAACCCGATGCGGCCACCCCCACCCATCCCTGTCAAAAAATACCAAATACAATTTGGGGCAAAGTCTTGAGTCATGTTCGTGAGGCCCGCGAGCACTTTGTATTGTTTTTGACAGGGCTGGCGGGGGTGTCAACCAATTGCCTGCTGTGCGAAGGGCTACCATCCCTTGCAAAAGCCAATGCAATATGCACCTCGCGGCTAAATCTGGATCATGCGCGGCCAGCCCGCGATCACTGTCAAGTGGTTTTTGACAGGGACGGGGGGGGCGCATAGCCTGCTGTGCGCAGGTCTTCGAGACACAATGATGGGATTGTTTTTTTTACAAGAATGGTGGGGGCCGACATGTTTCCCGACGTGTAATGTCACGTGCGCTGGCGCACCTGACACACTCTGCACGTGCCCCGAACGTGTCGCACCTGGCGCGGCTAGAGTATGAGGCGGAGCGCGTGGCGCATTTGGCGCACCAGGCGTGCCTGGCACGCTCGGGCCCAGAGGTGCCTGGCGCGCGTGGCGCGGCTGGCACGCGTGGCGCACCTCGCCCCAGCGTCGCGAACATTGGGTCGATTTTGGCTCCAAGTAGCTGCCCATCCAAAGACGACCGCTGAACATGATGAGGCTCGGGTGTTACTTATGTGTTGGGGGAGCGGGCGGGGGTAAGCTAGACGGCTTGCTATCCAGGGGGTATTGAGTCTTGACCCTTCCCCCTACCCCCTCCCCTGGACCTGGACGGGGCGCCCCGCGAGCGGTCAGAGCATCTAGATGGCCCAAGACGGCCCCAAGAGGGCCTCAGAGAGCCCAAGATGACGTCCAACAGGGCCCAATATATCCCGAGATAACTCCATTTGGTTCCCAAGATGCCTCAAGAACACCCAAGGCCGCTCCAACA